ATATATATATATATATATATATATATATATATATATATATTTTTTTTTTTTTTTTTTTTTTTTTTTTTTTGTGTGAAAATGCACACAAGTCTTTACAACAGTCTGGTAAAAGTGTAAGATGTAAGGTAATATTTATGATAACAAAGGCAGGGACACTTAAGGGTCTAATTGGCATCTTTTAATAACAGCCATTTTCGGTGGCGTACCAAAGATACTCTTGGAAGGGCACACGCAATGGATGTTACTCGAAGGAGGGATAACTTAACTGGATTAACCCCAGTGCTAAATCATATACATGTACTAGTACGTGCCTTTTCCTCCCAGATTTGCCATAGTGTAGTTGCAGTGTTGCTTTATCTTTCCCTTACCTTGCCGATGCCTGGATTGACAAATATTCAGCCGGGTCACTCTCGGTTGACTGTGTTATTTTTACCCCGTCATCCAGCATTAGTGCGGCCTGCAATACGCATGCGTCAAAAATAATTCTTTTTCACTAAAGACCTGGGATCCCATTTCAAACTGTGCCCCTGTATGTCAGAGATAAGTCCTTGAGGAACAGGGCATCAGAAGTTACGATGCTAAGGTTATTGGGGCACTGATTAACGTGTATACTGTTGTCTTATTCCGTTTAACTTGTTTACGTAGTCCTAAAAATGCTATCATATTTTGACTGCGTAGACGTGCAATATCGAAACGGACCACACACCACTACGGTTTTTTTAATAATAATAATAATAATAATAATAATAATAATAATTAAAACTTCGAAACGTAATTTCATTACATGAGTGAAATTGATCCTGCAACATTCAGTGAATTAACATGGCCTGTTTCATCGCGACTGGGGATAGATAATTAATTGACAGAAATTTTTTTCTAAATTAAAAAAAGACACAATTCCAGAGATATGGCGGCTTGTAATGTAGAATTTCCATGTAGATGACATTTGTTCTAGTGAGGAACTGAGCTTTTTGAACGAACCCCAACGTTGCGGAGTAACATTTAAGCCATTCTCATGTCACTCCTCGTTTTTTGCTACCCCTTTGCAGATATATCAAAATTGATTTATATCATTCAAATAGAAATAGAATTTGAACTTTGCTTGTCATTATTGTTGGTAAGCAGAGGAATCAATTTTGGCAGGATATCCCACTTTCCTATTTTATCTTGACACATCCTCTTATGTTGTTAACCGTGTCTATAACCATTTCATTGCCGTAGTGCAGCCATAAAATACATTGTCCTTGTTCGGAGGAAGGATATGTGGAGGATGTTGGCATGTATGGGGTGTATTTACATGTACCTCTTAACCTAACATTAGTATAAAACATAAAATCATTTACCAGTAAATATAAATAATTATATGTATGTGCTATATACATAATTATTGCACTGTTTTAAACAGAAGATTAATGTCATTCTAACCATTTTGACAACGTTTAATATCCTTTACTCCCGATTATGACACATTTGGGTAAGATCGTACGAAAATTATCATGTTTGTCCGTAATGTGCGGTTACTTTGCACTTAGTAACTTTAAATTGAGACGTGGGCCGAATTTTTGTATAAAACACGCTGTTATCCTGTCTCGACTAATATTTTCATGTCATCGGTATTGACAGAAACCGAGGGAATTGTCGCCATGAGATCAATCTTCGTCACAATTTTGATATTGGGCCTTGCAGCCGTCAATGTCAATGGTAAAGTATATTTCATTTTATGATAAACTTAATGGTTTGTTGAATTGCACTGTAAAAAGTAGTGTTGAAGATATGCTTATAGAACTGCTGGTATTAAGTTTAAAGGAACAAAAGGATATGATGTGCGTTAGGTCCTTAATTATTAGCAAGTAAAGAAAAATAAAGATAATCAAATAATTTGAATTTAATAACTATTCACGACATTTCAGCAGTATTTCTTTTAACACCAAAAAAGCGTGTTTTATCCAAAACCATAGACAAATTAAGGATGTATAATCCCGTTTCAAAACTCTTAATTTCGAACCTAAAAAATCTTTTTGAATTGTAATTTTTTCAACTTTTTTTACCAACCTTCAAGAGTACAGGAAACGTTTCCAATTAAAATCTCATTCTGTTTCCTGACGGTCAACTGCTCATTGTGTGACAAAATGTTTTGTAGAAATTCTTTCAATTGTTTTACATAAATGTTTTAAATGGTTTTAACTGTAGTAAATAAAAGTGTCTCGTGTATTGCACTAGACAATATCATGAGAGGAAATGTTGGACAAGATGTCGAGAAAATGTTACAGTCCGCTCCTACAAGCACATGCATTTATAAGACGCTGCATTTCGAAAATAATATTATTTCTCGAAAGTAAAATACCATTTCAAATAACCGTACGCGTGATTCCAGTATTAAACACATACGATAGCATGCGTATTCAGAATTTTCGGAGGCTAAATTATCAACCAAATGCACAGTAGGCGTTCTTTTAAAACCAAATTAGATTCTTTCCCCCAACATATAAATGACATATCAGCTTTGTCTGTTTGTTGGTTTTAGGAATATGTCGGATGACGCGGCGTGCAAATGCATTCTACGTCAAAGGACGCGACATTGACAACTTCATAACTGGGTCTGAAGGAAGATGTTCCGACGCATGCGCAACTAATCGTTTGTGTGTTGCTGCCACCTATCGAACTTCTGACGGCCGGTGTTGGCGACACAGTACCTTGAGGAGAACTGGCTCGGGAAGAGGATGGGTTGCTTTAAAGAAAGACGCAAGTTGCGTCAGTAAGTAACGAAGGGAGACTTTATTTCTTGAAAAATGCTTTTTTCAAGAATAAAATTGCCCCACTGATATCAAGTCGATATCATGGTTGAAAAGTTTTAGAAATTATAGCTAGTTTTGGACGTTCTATATTCAATTACAAAAGCAAAGTATCCATTTAAAAATCATATATGCATTGTGTCATGGTCAAGTTTCGTTACAATTATAAAACATTACTGTTTCACAGTGCATCAATGATCAGTTCTTGCTAAATTCCAAGCATGGATTATTCAGTTCATTTTCATCACTATTTTGACTTTCTCATAGCTCCCACGCGGACCCAACTCAAATCTGTTACAGTATAACAATTTTGCGTTTGTAGAGCCGCTCAGTGGGACAGTAAAATACGGGTACCAAAAGGTGGACAGCGTGGCCCTTAAGATGAAGCTTCAAGAGATCGCAAACTTTTTCAAAACCACGGTGACCGTCACGAGTGGAAGACGCAGTGGTTTTGATCCCTATGTAAGAGACATTATTTGTGCAACTGGAATCGCTTGTATCTAGCTTAATACGACAACAGAAACTTCTTAAATGTGCTAGTATTTGTATAATATTTATGATGATTTTTTCCCATATGTTCTTCATTTGGAACTAATGCCTTCGAAAAAGTCATATTTGGCATTACCCACCGCATTTCAGCAATAATGTTGAAATAAATGTCAGGAAAGAAATAGGGGTTGATAACAATTGTCAAATTTATGCACAACACATATTGGCGCCGAGGCCATACTCCAGACTCTATTATTATTATTATTATTATTATTTCAGCATAAGAAAGGTCAAGCTGCAGACATCTTGGTCAAGGGCGTTGGAACTAAAAAGGCATGGGATCGCCTCAGAAAAAGTGGCATTCTGGACAAAGAGTATTACGTCATGTACCACGCACCAGGGTCAAGGTCATGTTCCACAGGCACGCACGTTCATATAGCCCGTTACAACAGGGAATGGAATTCTGGCAAAAATACGTGCTGGATAATTGAGGGCACAACCACTGCTAACAAATGCCTGTCGTATGGACAACACAAATGTCTGTGAGAAGAGAAGGTGCTTGACTATTTACATTCACGAAAGAGAGGGATGCAAGTGTCTCCTTAAGTTTGTCAGATTTTACCATTTTACATTGCTTTGATGTACATTTAGAAAAACATGCATCGGGAATAAAGTGATGTGAACCGAACGTACCGTTTTATGCTTTTTATTGTGAACAGCTCTTAATAACGTAGAAGCAAAGTTGACATGCGATTACGATCAACTTCACTCTAAATTTCTTCCACAATTCTCCATATAAAACGACAGTGGCGGATTAAGAGGGGGAGTCAGGGTGGTCCAGCCCCCTCCCCTTTTCGGTTTCTGAAAAAAATTCACAGTAATATTTCCCTCTTAAAATTAGACTTTTAACTAGCTGATTTATAGTTCTTAACCGTTCCAAATGGCACCGTTTGTTCCTCAGAAAAAACCAAAACGTTTTGGGCCTTTAAGGGGACCACAAGGGGCTTGAGGGTCGGCTTTGAATCTCAGGCCTGTCAGTCGTATAAAACACTGACCCCCCCCCCCCCTCCTCCTTCAAATACTTGATCTTACCATATCTTACCACCTGTATATCGCATTCAGCAGACAAAAAGAGTATCTTCTTTGCATAATAATTTGCTAAATATGTTTTCTCAAAATTGGAATCGTCATAATTACTTGTACGCGTTTGAACGCTTTGAATGATTCTCTGTTCTTATAGGGGATTGCTTAAACCCAAACCATCCATTGTGCTCTTTAAAGGTACATACGAACCGAGAATCGTTGGAGGGTGGATTCCCAGTAACAAATGCAAACCACTTCTACCAGTTTCTTATACGACTCAAATAAATTCGACGTGCCAAGGGATAAACTGAATAGATTACTCGATCAGCCATAAAAATGCTTTAGACTGCTCCTTTCTTTAAATTTTTGATCGGAAATTTAACCTACTTTCGTGACCTACTTTTCTGCCCCATTGACATACAACATAGAATGCTAGCAGAAAAATCCGTTCAAACATCATTTTCGGGAACAATTAAACAATGCCTTTTGGTAATTCTCTTAGTTATACTACTTGGAACTATATGCTGGCATTTGGTCTGTTTTTGTGACAAAAAATTGACTTTGTATGCATCTTTAAAGTCATATGTGAAATTAAACTTAATCTCAACACAAAACGAAATTATCCGTGTGGGTTTCTCAAACAAGGCCTCGTGTACATCGTGAACTTCTGTACTGCACCCGGGTTATCGATAATAAATGCAGATGTAAACATGCACAACCAAACTGGCCCTCTGCGTGACAAGGTAGAAAGTTTCCATTCATTGTAAGACCTAGTTGTCAACGACGTGGTAATTCCGCTGTCTCAAACACAGCTATACCCTTGTATGCGGGTTCAAATGCTAGAATGTTTTATGCAGTATTTTTGCTAGATATGATTTCTGATAAGTGCATTTTATTACTATAAGTAGTAAAACGTATATTGTGTGGGCGGGTGGGTCAGGCACAGCGCTATCGATGGTGTGCGCGGTTGTAAGAAACTCTAAAGCAGTCACCAACCATGATAACGGGAAGTCACAAGGTCGAGTCCCAGATAACGAATGTCAGTCCATCACAACAACGACCTGGCACTGCAATCGGGAAGTCACGGGAACAGAACGCCACGGACCCCACACCAAGGGGAAGGGGGCGTTCGGCTTCGCATCCGCAGACAACCAACCCGCCATCAAAAAATCCTGGACCCGCCCCTGTATACTATATTAATTGTCCCAGTAAAATAAGGCTGGTCAAAAATGAATACTCACCCTCCTGGGATTAGAATGGGCTCTGTTGTTATAAAACTTCTTAATTGCCGTCCTCTCGCCATGGCGTTCGGGGAGGGTCCCCGCAGATGGGCCAGTTGGTTCTCTGTAGAACGCAAACCAGTAAGCTGTGCTCTGGGAATAACAAAAAAACATGTCCCTTTTATTTGGAATGGATTTCAGATTTCAGTATGAGGGGATAATACATGTATAATATATCATCACAGTTGTGTTCTTCAAAAAAAGCTGCATTCACATCTTTAAGGTTGGCAGTACATATTTGTGGCCAAATCTCGTGGAAGTGTATTCGGTTGCACTTACGTCTGAGCCCGCAGCTGCATTGTTGGTGAACGTGTTGTTTGGATGGGCTATCCAGAATGTGGAGACCCCGCTGAAAACAAACAAAAAATGAGCGATCTTTGCGGTTCGTTCCATTTTTATTACTATGGCAGTTTTAAACTCACGCTGTATTTCTATAAAGAGATATAGAGGTGGCTGGCATCATTACCGACCTGAGAGAGAGAGAGAGAGAGAGAGAGAGAGAGAGAGAGAGAGAGAGAGAGAGAGAGAGAGAGAGAGAGAAAAAAAGAAAAAAAAAAAAAAAAAAAAAAAAGAAAAAAAAAAGGGACTAACTTTGAATGTAAAAATGAANAGAGAGATGGAGAGGTGGCTGGATTCATGACCGACCGTGAGAGAGAGAGAGAGAGAGAGAGAGAGAGAGAGAGAGAGAGAGAGAGAGAGAGAGAGAGAGAGAGATAGACCAAAAGAAAGAAAAAAAAAGGAAAGAAAAAGAAAGAAAAATGGTCCTGGAAGATATGACACTTAAAACTAGACCTACTTGCATTCACCAGATGAAGGTTTATATCCTGGGATCACGTTGTCCAACATATTCTCACACATGTTGGTGTCCCTATCAGACGGGAGGAGGGTGCCTGGTTTGGTGAGGAGACCCAGGTTATGGTCCAGAGTATTCCTTTGTTCATTGCCGTCCTCCAGGAAGAAGCAATGTCCCAGTGTATCGTAACCAACGACACTGTGAACCTAGGAGATGCACTTGTATTACTATGATGGTAATTACGCTCATTCGTCTTTTTCATAAGAAAATATTTACCTTTAACCTCGTATGCTTTTAATTTATTGAAATTTAAGGGCAAAGGAGCCGGTTAGTTTACCCAATACAGCCACTTGTGAAACATAAATAATCTTAAAGAATTACGTACCAATAAACCATTTGTAGCATGGATTGTGACACAGCGACTGAAGCAGTGATGGATGGACAGGTCTTTAACCCAAGTAGGATTGGTGTATCCACCGAGTTCGTCGACGTCACCACAGATGTGGAAATGGATTGGATAACTCCCAAGGATCTGCTGACCCATATTATACACTTCTATTCCTGACAGATGGACTGATTTAAAACCTTTGAGGACCTGGAAACAAGAAAGTTCCCGTAAAATATTACTATATTTATTAGCTTCAAGATTCTACTCTATTAAAAAGTTCAAGTCCGACATATAACTAGTCCGCTTAAATTAAAAGCCATTCCGATTGAAAATAAATTTTAAGAATCAAAACACGACTATAGTAAGATGCAAGTAGGCCTACCTTTGAGTAACATGGACGGAGATACGGCATTGATCGAAATATTCCCAATTACAAATTTAATAATCACGAAAAAGGCGAGGTATAACGAATAATTTTAATTTACCCTCAAGTGACCACCAAATGTGTCGTAGTCGAAGAACTGGCAGAAATTTTCCCCATAACAGCTTGGCTCCATTTCTCCCTTAATCAGGATATTTCTGCTCAGTAGTCCAACCTCAGCGCGCATGTCCACGCCGTACGATGACCCGCCAAAATGAAGATACTTGACTGGACCTGAAAATAATTAAAGTTACGGCGGTTTCAATCTTTTAAACCCAAATATAGAAACATTACGTATCTATATTTATCTTGGATATTGTATAAGATTTGACGATGGCTCTCTTCTAAAGAGTGTTTTTTTACAATTTCACATTAAAGCCCAGGTCCCAACTACGTTTTGGACGCACAGTTTTTTGGTTCCTTGCGTTCGGCTAGGACGTAGCTAGATCGCACGTATAGCGGCTGTTGATCATGTCGAAAAGTTACTACGTGCTGTTTGCGTCCTCCAAAAGTCGCACGATGGACGTGCTCCTCACTCACGAACTCCCACGTTTTCCCCAGTTTTTGCCCGTAGACCACTGTGGCACACGTAGCAGCCCGTACGTTCGGTTGGGACCTAGGCTTTACGAAAGACGACGATCACGAACAGTATTTATCCAGAGCATGACAATTATCTCATGAAATAGTAAAGTTGCTGCACCGAATCATGGCATCTTTATTATAGTCATTATACGCACTAACAGGTAAAAGCTTACCCATGACATTGACTTGATTACGGTTACAACTTTCACATTTTCCAATCAGAAATTCTTCCGCTTGATACATGGAAAAATCGGTACTACTGATTACTATACGATCTCCCTCTTCCCAACTGCTGACGTCATCTGCCAGAGTGATCACGTATCCTTCTGTTACGTCACTAAGCTCGATTGCAGAGCTTGCCCATCCTTTTGTTCCTGTTTGATACAAACAATGTACCGCCTTATTACTACTGATAGCAATATATTGCATAACTTTGTGTTTTCACTAGTCTGTATATCAGAGAGCTAATCGGACATTGGAANATAATGTTTTTTGCAGTATTTTTGCTAGATATGATTTCTGATAAGTGCATTTTATTACTATAAGTAGTAAAACGTATATTCGGTGGGCGGGTGGGTCAGGCACAGCGCTATCGATGGTGTGCGCGGTTGCAGGAAACTCTAAAGCAGTCACCAACCATGATAACGGGAAGTCACGAGGTCGAGTCCCAGATAATGAATGTCAGTCCATCACAACAACGACCTGGCACTGCAATCGGGAAGTCACGGGAACAGAACGCCACGGACCCCACACCAAGGGGAAGGGGGCGTTCGGCTTCGCATCCGCAGACAACCAACCCGCCATCAAAAAATCCTGGACCCGCCCCTGTACACTATATTAATTGTCCCAGTAAAATAAGGCTGGTCAAAAATGAATACTCACCCTCCTGGGATTAGAATGGGCTCTGTTGTTATAAAACTTCTTAATTGCCGTCCTCTCGCCGTGGCGTTCGGGGAGGGTCCCCGCAGATGGGCCAGTTGGTTCTCTGTAGAACGCAAACCAGTAAGCTGTGCTCTGGGAATAACAAAAAAACATGTCCCTTTTATATGGAATAGATTTCAGATTTCAGTATGACGGGATAATACATGTATAACATATCATCACAGTTGTGTTCTTCAAAAAAAAAAGCTGCATTCACATCTTTAAGGTTGGCAGTACATATTTGTGGCCAAATCTCGTGGAAGTGTATTCGGTTGCACTTACGTCTGAGCCCGCAGCTGCATTGTTGGTGAACGTGTTGTTTGGATGGGCTATCCAGAATGTGGAGGCCCCGCTAAAAACAAACAAAAAATGAGCGATCTTTGCGGTTCGTTCCATTTTTATTACTATGGCAGTTTTAAACTCACGCTGTATTTCTATAAAGAGATATAGAGGTGACTGGCATCATTACCGACCTGAGAGAGAGAGAGAGAGAGAGAGAGAGAGAGAGAGAGAGAGAGAGACCAAAAGAAAGAAAGAAAGAAAGAAAGAAAAAGAAAGAAAAATGGTCCTGGAAGATATGACACTTAAAACTAGACCTACTTGCATTCACCAGATGAAGGTTTATATCCTGGGATCACGTTGTCCAACATATTCTCACACATGTTGGTGTCCCTATCAGACGGGAGGAGGGTGCCTGGTTTGGTGAGGAGACCCAGGTTATGGTCCAGAGTATTCCTTTGTTCATTGCCGTCCTCCAGGAAGAAGCAATGTCCCAGTGTATCATAACCAACGACACTGTGAACCTAGGAGATGCACTTGTAATACTATGATGGTAATTACGCTCATTCGTCTTTTTCATAAGAAAATATTTACCTTTAACCTCGTATGCTTTTAATTTATTGAAATTTAAGGGCAAAGGAGCCGGTTAGTTTACCCAATACAGCCACTTGTGAAACATAAATAATCTTAAAGAATTACGTACCAATAAACCATTTGTAGCATGGATGGTGACACAGCGACTGAAGCAGTGATGGATGGACAGGTCTTTAACCCAAGTAGGATTGGTGTATCCACCGAGTTCGTCGACGTCACCACAGATGTGGAAATGGATGGGATAACTTCCAAGGATCTGCTGACCCATATTATACACTTCTATTCCTGACAGATGGACTGATTTAAAACCTTTGAGGACCTGGAAACAAGAAAGACCCCGTAAAATATTACTATAGTTATTAGCTTCAAGATTATACTCTATTAAAAAAATTCAAGCCCGACATATAACTACTCCGATTAAATTAAAAGCCATTCCGATTGAAAATATTTTTTAAGAATCAAAGCACGACTATAGAAAGATGAAAGGAGGCCTACCTTTGAGTAACATGGACGGGGATACGGCACTGATCGAAATATTCCCAATTACAAATTAAATAATCACGGGAAAGGCGAAGTATAACGAATAATTTAAATTTACCCTCAAGTGACCACCAAATGTGTCGTAGTCGAAGAACTTGCAGAAATTGTCCCCATAACAGCTTGCCTCCATTTCTCCCTTAATCAGGATATTTCTGCTCAGCAGTCCAACCTCAGCGCGCATGTCCACACCGTACGATGACCCGCCAAAATGAAGATACTTGACTGGACCTGAAAATAATTAAGGTTACCACGGTTTCAATCTCTTAAACCCAAATATAGAAACATTAGGTATCTATATTTATCTTGGATATTGCACAAGATTTGACGATTGCTCTCTTCTTAAGAGTGTTTTTTAACAATTTCACATTAAAGCCCAGGTCCCAACTACGTTTTGGACGCACAGTTTTTTTGGTTCCTTGCGTCCGGCTAGGACGTAGCTAGATCGCACGTATAGCGGCTGTTGATCATGTCGAAAAGTTACTACGTGCTGTTTGCGTCCTCCAAAAGACGCACGATGGACGTGCTCCTCACTCACGAACTCCCACGTTTTCCCCATTTTTTGCCCGTAGACCACTGTGGCACACGTAGCAGCCCATACGTTCGGTTGAGACCTAGGCTTTACGAAAGACGACGATCACGAACAGTATTTATCCAGAGCATGACAATTATCTCATGAAATAGTAAAGTTGCTGCACCGAATCATGGCATCTTTATTATAGTCATTGTACGCACTAACAGGTAAAAGCTTACCAATGATATTGACTTGATTACGGTTACAACTTTCACATTTTCCAATAAGAAATTCTTCCGCTTGATACATGGAAAAATCGGTACTACTGATTACTATACGATCTCCCTCTTCCCAACTGCTGACGTCATCTGCCAGAGTGATCACGTATCCTTCTGTTACGTCACTAAGCTCGATTGCAGAGCTTGCCCATCCTTTTGTTCCTGTGTGACACAAACAATGCACCGCCTTATTACTACTGGTATCAATATTTTTCATAACTCTGTGTTTTCACCAGTATGTATATCAGAGAGCTAAACGGACATTAAAANATCTCCCTCTTCCCAACTGCTGACGTCATCTGCCAGAGTGATCACGTATCCTTCTGTTACGTCACTAAGCTCGATTGCAGAGCTTGCCCATCCTTTTGTTCCTGTTTGATACAAACAATGTACCGCCTTATTACTACTGATAGCAATATATTGCATAACTTTGTGTTTTCACTAGTCTGTATATCAGAGAGCTAATCGGACATTGGAATACTGAAAACAAATCATTGAAGGCATGTACCAAGCGTACGAAGGACAAAATATTAATACATGTGCATAATATGTTGGCGTAAAAGAAATTAAAACATGAAAAAGGAATACATAAGATAATAACAATCCCATATGTGTATTCAGAGCACGATCCAATATCGAAATTCAGGACTATAAAACACATACTGCATATCAGCAGTAACATTTTAGTATCGAATAGGATCGACTCATAATGTTGAACGGAAAATAAAGGCAGCTCACCGTCCCATCCGCTTTTCACGTAGACACGGAATTGACCCCTGTCATTGGCGAAAACTTTTTCGGTCGTGGCGTAGTGGGTTGTCTCTGTGTCTTAAATATAATCCAAAACGTCTTAAAAGAATATATCTGTCTGAACAACGAAATTTGTTAACTTCGCCCTGTATAAATTAATGGGGCGAGTTAGTTTACATGCGTACAGTTTAAAACCCAGTGAGATTTTGAATATGTTCATTTTGTCTGAAAAATAAAATACAATTAATCCCAACTATTCCCAAAACAGACAAGGCAACAACATGGAAAATATTTTTCGCGTCATATAGTAATTTAGAAAGAATTAATAATGATCTGCACTTACTAATGTATTTTATTCGTTCTTCAACGGTCTCTGACGGAGATCCTTTAACAGCAATGAACGCCCAGGGGTGCCTTAAGTGAAGTAAAAATAAATTTAAATAGTATTATGGCGTTTAGGTTATTTTAATATAAACATTTATTTTATAAGGCCCAAAAGTTCTCAGAATGCCGAACAAAAAGCAAATATCAAAACAGAACCATACAAAAAAAATTAAACTTTTTTTTAAAAAAGACATTATCCAAAAAAATATGTACTTAAAAGCCATTTATGAACATATCAACTGCTTTTTTAATTATTATTATTAGAGGCTAGTCTACTACACAAATCTCCAACGGGTTGTTTTCGACCTGTCTGACAAAAACAATATCATGTTTAGCTTGTTCTACCTGTTCTGCCCTCATGTGCAATGTTATAATTATTTATAAAGGACAGCGTAAGTCGGTGTTTGTGAAAAAAGGAGGAATGCACGGGATAGCGGTAGACGGAACGATATATGTGACCAGGACGAAGCCTTGTTAACAAATGCATCACAAAAAAAGGACCATCAGAGCGCTTTTCGTTCTTCCTACTTCACTGTATCATTTTAATGATCTCTCTTTTAAAACCATGAATTTGGAAGCAAATACAAATATGCGTAGCCATATATTTTGGTATAAAGTTACACATGCATTGCAGAGTTTTCTGAAGTATTTGGCGTAATAAACAGTTGCATCAGTAACCACCCAGACCAAACAATCTACCAGCTGGCCTAACGGTAAATCGTGTTCGTTTTAACCTTATTTCAGATTTGGCCTGCTGATCAGTGTTCACATAATCACAGTGCGTTCGATTATTCTAGCCCTCTCGGAATCTTTTGATTAAAAGAAATAAATAAGATTCAGCATTATTTTTTATTATTATCATTTTTTTACTAAAAAAAACTTACCGAAAGCCGATCTTTGTTACCTCTCCGCTTCCCATATTGGTCAACAATGTTTCAGCTTCATCGTAAAGCCTCTTAGACGCCTCGTCAAACACTGCTATTGTAATTATGGCTCCATCTACGTTCAGATAATATACATTGTACACGTCTGGTAAATGTGCAAATTCTGCTATTACACGTAAAATTCTCCGTTTGAGATATCTACCCTCGCTCTTTATCTTATTTTTTACAAACAAAGCACCACCAATAGGCCCCCTATTTTGATTCAAATTATATAGCCGGAAAGTTAGAAGGAAAAAGAAGGATAGGAAGACAACGAGGAAAAAATGTAGAAAGCGCACGGGACATATTGGATGGGACATAGAATGGCGACAGATATGCCGAGAATTACTAAAGACAGATCTCAGGGGATATGGGGAAGGGGGGTTGATCCCCAACGTCATGATAAAGCAGGGCGCATGATGGTAATTAAGACCATGCAGACCGGAAAGATGCTCAGAGACCACGGTGAAAAGAGTCTTACCTTTCTGTTCTGTGATGAAATCAATCAGTCGCTTTGAGGCCTCCTCGTCGCCGTACGTGTCAAATCGTTCCCGGGCAGTGATATTGCCCGTGGCCTTATCTATAACACGCACGTTTAACCCGCGCTGCATAGAGTCTTCAATTTGGGCTCCTTCTTCAAGTGGCCCTACAAATTAGTCACTATTTAAAATTAAGGATATTAAAAAGTATAAGGCTGTGTAAGATTTATCACCAATAGTATTTTGTATAGCGAAATAAGGCTTTTTACCGCAATGTCGTCAATGATAAAATGTCTTATCACGTATGATATAAGTGTTATGTGCAAAAAAATATATATAAAACAATACCAGTTTTTCCAAGGTAAATTTTAAACCGAGCGTGCGTATCTGTGATTTAGTAAGACCTATATTCAAACGAGTTGTTATTTTCTGGAAGTTTTCGGGCTTATTAAACACACGATGCCAGACCCTCTATATGTGCGTCATTTTATTTTCATACATGTGACCTACGAATATCCCTTACCTTTGAGGTGCCCTTCCAGAAAGGTCCAAGCTGTTTTTGTCTTGCCGTGAATTTCCAAGGTACCACCTTTACTGACACCAATAAACTTCCTGCCGAAATCTGGATTCTCACCGGAGTCAGTTGACTTGCCTTGGGGGATGATGGTTACCTTTCCTTGGTACCTGTTCAAAGGCCACCAAAAAAGCATTATATATGTGTGTGTGTGTGTGTGTGTGTTAACTCCCCTTAACAATGAACGGCGTCCTTTCTGTGTCCTTTGTGCGACCATGAAACTGGCATCGCTGTGGTCGTAAAAACGAGGCACCAGTATCGCTTTGGTTGCAGAATGAATACTCAATGACCGGCCAGTTGTCGGTACGCAAAGTATTACTTTTTTACTCTAAGGGACGCAGAAAGGACCCCGACCAAGGTGTAAAGGGGGCTCAAGCCACTTCGTTCTACAGGTATTGCCTCATATTCTAATGTGAATTTAATTGTCTTCATTTCGTGCTATAAAGCTTGCAATTTGTAAAGATGTATATAAATACAGGGTACACATAGTATTTATACACACACTGGACAACAGATGTGACACCCCTACTGAACCAATACTTTGAGGGAGATAAATGACTATGGAATGATATGCTCCTGTTATCATGTTATTAACATCAAATTACACAAAAGACCAACAATACAATTGCATGGTACAGCGGTTTTATACTCATTGGTCACAAGTAGACCATTATAACTACCCAAGATCTGCCTACTTTGATTACTCTGATTTAGGGGGTGACACTTCTAGTAGTGGAGTCATTAAAACCTTACCTACAATCAGGACTTCCAATGTGCATCTCTCCACCGTCCTCGATAAGAATGTGTTTTGTTTTCACGATGATCGGGGCCACGCCGTCTTTGATCACTAGTTTACCTGGGAGGGATAGTAAAATATTTCATAATTCACTTGGCCGTTAATTGATTGTTCATTGTCGAATATAATGGATTTTTTCCCATAATTTACAATAACCTAGCATATTACTGATGGGACTGGTGTGAATGCAATACCCGGAAAACAAAACTTTCGTTTTTATCAAATTTGATATATTTGTGTTTAGATTGATAAAGCATAAAGCTTATGGTTAAATAAGTTAAGTAATAAATAAGTTAAGTAATACCAAATCAGCTGCAGACGGCAATAGAATATATTTTGATGCACTATTTCATATATTTAACTCTAAACGACGATTTCGACTATTATTTTTTAAATGCTTGTCAGGAGTTGAAAGCTCCAGTGGACCCACCTCCATCCTGAACTGTTATGCTTTTTACTGTTGCTGATTGGTCCAGCAGATATAGGTTGCCATTGGCGATGGTGACATCAGTGTGTGGAATGTCTCCCGGTCTCCATTGTGCTAGTTTTGAGTCTTTATCTGGGCAAGAATCCTGGGCCCTGGCCACTGGTTGTGGAGAAAATAAAGACAGCTGTATACTTACAAAGTCATTTAGGATGAATAAACTGAATTGGCGTGAACGATGTAACCTTGCTGACCCCCCCATCTCTCTCTTTCTCTCTCTCTCTCTTACACACACACACACACACAAACACACACACACACACACAAACGCAGTCGTTTACAAAGCTTTATTTTTCTAATATTATATGATGGCTGTATGTATCCATATATACATGTATCCGTATATGAAGACACCCTGACATGAGTGAAATGTAAGTTTGTTTGCTATGTTAAGTGAACATTAAGCGTATTCTGATCGAAGATCTAATATTTTAGTACTTTCTTCTCATGTTGAAATAAATCTTTATATTAGTGATTGCCATTACACGGGTTCTTATGAACTATCCCGCGACAAACGTTTTTGGATGCGGTCTGATTTCCATCACTATTAACCATGTCTGATGCTGGTATGTCTGCTGGTGTAACAAAAATATTTGATGTCTAGTGCATCAAATAAAAACACATAATCTGTCAATGACCCTCATTACGTGACTCAGGGTTTCGAGATTGGTAGTGTAGGATCCAATTTACAAAAAAAAAGAAAAAAAAAAGAATATTTTCTTTTTTGAACTTCATTAGTCAGCAAATACTCCTAAGGCGTAGTCAATTAATAGTGTTTCAAAGTAAATACTATAGTCTATATTTTACCTTTGTCAATAATAGTCTCAGCGCACGCTCTCGAACAGCTATTCCAAATAGGAGGTGTAATTTTTACAAGAAGTGACAGCTCTTGGCGCCCTGTCTTTTCTAAATACCACTCATTGACAACTAAGTGAANTACCCAAGATCTGCCTACTTTGATTACTCTGATTTAGGGGGTGACACTTCTAGTAGTGGAGTCATTAAAACCTTACCTACAATCAGGACTTCCAATGTGCATCTCTCCACCGTCCTCGATAAGAATGTGTTTTGTTTTCACGATGATCGGGGCCACGCCGTCTTTGATCACTAGTTTACCTGGGAGGGATAGTAAAATATTTCATAATTCACTTGGCCGTTAATTGATTGTTCATTGTCGAATATAATGGATTTTTTCCCATAATTTACAATAACCTAGCATATTACTGATGGGACTGGTGAGAATGCAATACCCGGAAAACAAAACTTTCGTTTTTATCAAATTTGATATATTTGTGTTTAGATTGATAAAGCATAAAGCTTATGGTTAAATAAGTTAAGTAATAAATAAGTTAAGTAATACCAAATCAGACGGCAATAGAATATATTTTGATGCACTATTTCATATATTTAACTCTAAACGACGATTTCGACTATTATTTTTTAAATGCTTGTCAGGAGTTGAAAGCTCCAGTGGACCCACCTCCATCCTGAACTGTTATGCTTTTTACTGTTGCTGATTGGTCCAGCAGATATAGGTTGCCATTGGCGATGGTGACATCAGTGTGTGGAATGTCTCCCGGTCTCCATTGTGCTAGTTTTGAGTCTTTATCTGGGCAAGAATCCTGGGCCCTGGCCACTGGTTGTGGAGAAAATAAAGACAGCTGTATACTTACAAAGTCATTTAGGGTGAATAAACTGAATTGGCGTGAACGATGTAACCTTGCTGACCCCCCCATCTCTCTCTTTCTCTCTCTCTCTCTTACACACACACACACACACAAACACACACACACACACACAAACGCAGTCGTTTACAAAGCTTTATTTTTCTAATATTATATGATGGCTGTATGTATCCATATATACATGTATCCGTATATGAAGACACCCTGACATGAGTGAAATGTAAGTTTGTTTGCTATGTTAAGTGAACATTAAGCGTATTCTGATCGAAGATCTAATATTTTAGTACTTTCTTCTCATGTTGAAATAAATCTTTATATTAGTGATTGCCATTACACGGGTTCTTATGAACTATCCCGCGACAAACGTTTTTGGATGCGGTCTGATTTCCATCACTATTAACCATGTCTGATGCTGGTATGTCTGCTGGTGTAACAAAAATATTTGATGTCTAGTGCATCAAATAAAAACACATAATCTGTCAATGACCCTCATTACGTGACTCAGGGTTTCGAGATTGGTAGTGTAGGATCCAATTTACAAAAAAAAAGAAAAAAAAAAGAATATTTTCTTTTTTGAACTTCATTAGTCAGCAAATACTCCTAAGGCGTAGTCAATTAATAGTGTTTCAAAGTAAATACTATAGTCTATATTTTACCTTTGTCAATAATAGTCTCAGCGCACGCTCTCGAACAGCTATTCCAAATAGGAGGTGTAATTTTTACAAGAAGTGACAGCTCTTGGCGCCCTGTCTTTTCTAAATACCACTCATTGACAACTAAGTGAACCCGAAGCATATCATGGACGTAATTCGTTTTTGCTTTTGCTGTGATCGAACTTAGATTATCAAAAACAAATATGTATACAACACAGATTGAAAAGTTAAGTATAGGGTCTACTTGCCAGCCAGTAAGATCAGGTAACTGAGGTCGCATAATATATAATGATTATAATAATAATAATTTATTAGATAAAGTTGCAACCCTAAGTTTGAAGTTGTACAAAGAATGTTTAAAAGAAATTGACAATAAACTTTAAATTATAAAACAATAAATTATTCTTAAAACACTACAAATTAAAAAGGCATCCATAAATTACTACAAGTTAAAAAGGCAATAATTAATAAAGGAATTTTTAAAACGTTCCGTCTTCACTTTTGGTTGTAAGAATCTGGTGTTGTTTCGTAAAGGGCGGGTGTTTCTTTCAGGCAATAAATGTCCTAACTTTTCACAATTTTTAAATTTTGTATAAAGCCTCTGATACAGCAAATGTCTACGTTTGTCTAGGGTGTCAATGTTACAAACTTTTAAGGCATCATCATAACTGAGACCAGGGCAAATAATCCTTAAGGTTCTCTTTTGAACTGACTCTAGACATTCAGATTGCTCAGCAGTCAGACATGGTCCCCATACTGGACAGGCATATTCTAAAACTGATCTTATTACAGACTGGTAAATAGTTAATAAATCTTGTATGTCCTGTTTTGCCTTCTTTAGCTGTCTGAGATAAAAGACTTTAAACATGCCTTAGCATACATGATTTGGATGTGTTCAGCCCACTTGAGGACTGGGGTTAAAATAACACCAGGTATCTTAAACTTTTTGACCTTTTCTACACGTTTACCATCTATTTCCAATGTTGGTATTGTAAGATTACAGTTATTGGAAAAATTTATGTCCATCGATTTAGTCTTCTTTACATTAAGATTCATCTTGTTTTGCTTGACCCAGTCAGCCAATTGGTCTATTGCTTGTGGTAGATGCGGTGTTTTGCCAAATTTGCAAATTTCGTAAATGGAGGTATCATCGACAAACTTAATGTCTGAACAACAAGTTTTCAGGTCATTTATCATTGCAAGGAAAAGAATGGGACCTAATTTAGTGCCCTGAGGCACTCCCCCCACTAGCTGAACCCAATCAAATTTAAAGCTACTGCATTTTACTCGTTGCAACCGTTCGCAAAGGAAGGAATATTGTGATCAATCATGTCGAAGGCTTTAGCAAAATCTAAAAATAACACCTGAGCATAAGACTTTGTTGTGGGGGATGGTTCAAGTCCTTCTAGTAATTTATGAGTCAATTCAACTAAGGCGTGAGTAGTTGAACTATTCTGAATGCCACCAAACTGTGCTCTATCAATTTGCAATCTGTAACCCATTTTGTAACAAAAGACTCCAAAATTTTACTAAGAGCTGGTGTTAGTGATATAGGTCTAAGATCTGACTCTATTACCTTTGGCTGATTCACTTTTGGAATGGGTATTATCTCTGCAAATTTCCAAATTTTTGGTATGCAACCATCCCTTACTGAGCTATTGAAAATTGCACAAAGTGGTTTTGACAAGTAGTCTGCAAAGTCTCTGAGAATCCAATTTGGAATTTGGTCTGGGCCTATAGCTTTAGACAGCTTTACTTTGGATAGTAATTTTTCTACATCCGCTGTGCAGATAACAAATTTGTCAGGTACTATACAACTCTGCTGGGCATTTCCATCAGGTTGTAAAGGTGACAGGTCTTGGCTGACACTATGAAAAAAGGTATTGATTTTGTTTGCTAGAACTTGAAGATTGCCTGAAGATGTGCTATCTGCCAGCGGTTGGAGTAAAGTGACATTGACATATTTTGGTCAAGTTTAAAAAAAGGGTTAATTAGTTGTTTGTTATATTTTATATAAATTTAGTATTTGCCTTCGCCAAGGCTTTAAAATAATCTAAAGTTTTCAATTGGTATTTTACGGATGATGATTTGGTCACAATATGGGAAGCAGAACTGGCGTAAGAAATGTGACAAAATACACTTTATATTCGACAGTATGTAAAACAATTCACGTGTAGAATAGTCCATAAATAAACCAATGAATATAAACATGTCGTGCCCTTACGTACCTATTGATATTTTAAAACATCAAGGAGCACACAGACATTCTGTACCGACCTCATGCATGTATATCTGATCGACGAGCCCGTCTGCCTCTCGACATAATTACACTCTTATTGTAACTAGAACTTATTATAAAACATGTATTTCATTGTGGACCAATCATTAAATATAATAAAATGATCGCACACAAATATAGACTTCTGAACACGTTTTGTTTTCGGAACAAAGCGAAACGGGTAAGGAGGATTGTAAATATTACATCTGTACAATTAAGGGCATTTTCCAGGAAAAATTACCCTTATCACGCAGTTACTCCCTGAGCAGGGAGCTGTACAAAAATTGGAGGTAATACCAGTGCCTTACAATTTCTCATAGCTCTTGATAAGAATAAGAGTATTCATCTTTTACAATCAACATATACACACATGTACAGAGCCTTTGAGATTGTTTTCTCAAAGCTTAAAGACTACACTTTTTTGCGACCCCCTCCCTTCCAGCTAGAGCTCCCCTGGTAGATGAAAACCTCAGACAAATGCTGTTGACAAACTGCTAAGAAAAACCTTTGTAGTAGTAAATGTATTGCGCTATTGAATACATAAACATACATGTATATATGAAAAATATATATACATAAACCAGTTATCAACAAGTCAATCTTCATTTTACTGTATATTATTCACTGTACTTACTCGAAAATGTCAGGAAGCAAATGATTATTACACACATCTTGGCACTTTTACAGTCCAAGAATACATGTGCTCTTCCTTCTTCAACTCCGGTATACAGCACAATGAAAACGGCAGGTGACTGCAATTTTAAATTCTCCCGAAGTCTGCGGCTGCTGGAAACCCGCTCTGGTAACATTACGTGATTCCTTCCGCTTTGAGTTCCCGCTGACAATGGTAGCCGAGCTGAGGGTAGGCGCCCGAGAAAACAATTGTTTGAAGTTTTGAATCTGTGATCGAGTTTTGCTTTGACGGGTAAGATGAAAGACCCGCACACATCTCTCCTGTATTCGAGCTCATCTCCCCGACGCTGGTAGCTCGACACCTGACGGCAGTAGTAGCGCAGACATAATGTCTGGTCTTTGATACACGGCTGACATCAATCTTGTCTCATCAAGCTACAGGATTGTTGACTTTTTATTTGTCTATTAAGTTTACTTACCTTCAGTGGCTCATCTCCTGAACACCATTTTCATTTCCAATTATTATTTTCAATCAACATAATAATATTTAAAACGGTAAATCATTCATCACCGTTGAAGCTGATACATATCATTCGACTTTCAACAGCTTAGTTTTTAACCACTTTATTCTTTTCCAATTCCTCTATTCAAACTAAATACTAAATTTTGGTAATGCTGTGTCCATAACCTTTAGCTTTCCATCATCTCAGACGCAGCACTTGCACATTTCGAGCAGAAAAGACAATCCTGCGTCAATGTTCGCTAAAGCATTTTCACTGAAACATTGCCTATCTATCAAATATATTGTGTTTGCATCTCACTGGTTTGTCTTTTCTGGCTTTATATAAGTGTGGACGTTCCATGGTCTTGCGGTAGGTTTCTTATAGTGAAAAGTGTTTGGTTCCAACGATGAAATTGTATTCAGCGAGTTTTATTGACTGTTAAATATATCGATCATCTTGTGTCCATCAGTTTGCAAAATATAAGCATCGTTCAGTTTTCTTTTCTTTTCTTTTTTTTTTTTTTTTTTCAGACGTTTAAATTTGAAGCCAGTGCCTTCCAGATGTGCTTGTTGTACTTGTGTCTCTACTAACACAATTCGCAGTTTCATCCAATACCAAACAATCTAACTCAAAGATTTAATTATTTGCCACTGCTATGCAAGGTTGGATTTAAGTGTAAGAAGATTATATATACGACTTGCATTATTCGAAAAGTGCGATGTGCGCATGACCGGAATTGTGCACTGCAGGGGTCAAAATAGTACCGGAAGCGTTGTTGACAGCGATAAGAACACATGATGGAAGCATAAGACATGCCGGGGGCGATATTAAACAAGCCATTTGAGGCGACAAAGGTGCCGGAGTTGAAAAGTTGGTTAAAATGAAGGATGCCCACACATCAGGCAAAAAAGAAGAGCTGATAAAAAGGTATGTTACACGATATTTTCTTAAATAGAAGACCAAATACAAAACCCTAATGTGGTCATTATGTAATTATGTTCACCCAATATCAGTGCATCTATCATTTGTTTCTTCTTCATTATATTTCTGTTGTGTATCCAGGTAGATTTCGGTTAAAAAAATATGACTAGGCATGCCAGTTTTCTGTTTTGTCATCAGTCTAGTATGTATGCATGTAAATTAATCACTGTTATAGATGTGTTGATGATGACTTTAATAATTATTTTCATGACTATTTTTTACTTGTTTTATAGGTGTAAACTGTACGGTGAGGATAGAGAGAGAAACAACATATTGGATCCAGACGGCAGAGAAAATTAGAAGTAGGCCTACCAGATTGAAGTTTGAATCAAGACAGTGGAGAATGGACCAAGTCCTTGAAGGGAATGCCCAAACCGTTTTTTTTTTTAATATTTGCCTATTAATAAATACAATTCAATATTTCGTCTCACAATTTTATTTTGCATAATAAAATCAATGATGTTGCCTTGGAAATATCTTTCCAAGGTACCTTACGATATTTCACTGATCCATGTTTTAAAATGCAATGTTTTAAACATTTTCTAGATATGTTCAAGTGCATTGTGATAATAAAAATGAGATATTTGGTAAAATTGTTCTCTTTTTTGTTATTTGCGTAAGTAATATACGATTCAATACTCCTTCACAGTCAGGTTTAAACCTCGTTTTAGTTTTACTCGGGTCTAAGCAATGGCGATAACAATACTCTAAAACCAAAGTAAAACTAAAACCAGCTTTAACCTTGCTGAGAAATCAAACCAAAGTTTCACATGACAGTTTTCATGCCATTTTTTATACTGAGGTAATGTCAGGGTATAAAAAGTCATGAAAAAATTTAATTCCTCGTAGGTTTCAAGACCGATGTAAAATTTAACCACTTCAGGTTTGTTGTGCATAGACTTTATGCTGAAAGTGTTTGTCAACTTCCTCATGTGCTTCGGACAGTTGTTCCAGCATTTTTTTCTCTGTCACACTATTTCTTTATGCATTTTTTTGTTTGTTTGCTCGTTGTTATTCCACTCTTGTTTCCGAAAGTTCAATTTCTAAAGATCGGATTTTCTGTTCCATACTGAAAATATGTTGTTTTTCCTTAACTATCGTTAAAAGCGCATCTGAACCTGCATCTGATACAATGCAGTAGGCATTGTGGTCTGTATTTGAGAAGCCATTTTCGTCCTCGCTGTTCAACTTCCCACTTGCCGCCAGGTTCACTAAAATTTGTCTCAGAGTTATCAACAGTTAAATGTCTAATAAATTTTCTTCGGGGCTTACAAATCTTCGATTCCTTGAGTGGAAATATAGTTGGTCTACCACCTTCGAAATGAGCACTACACACACGGTGATGCTTGGCGGGCTCGAACTTACTAAATTTGCCTTCATTTCCCGCTCGTCCAATATTGTCAATCCATATAACTCTCTTTTTTGGGTCCTTGGGGAAAGCATAAAATGAAAAATTTCGATCTCGCTTCGTATTGTTGAAACAAACAGGCACAAAACACATAGAACCGCCGAGAGGCATTTTATTTCTGTGTACAGAAATGGCGGCAACGCAAGACAGGTCCCACTTTACCCACAATGCATTGCGCTCAATATCGAAAACGAGACGAATAATGCAAGTCGTATATACATGCTTCCGGAACCAAGCTGCTAGAATGATAATCTCTCTTTATATATGAGGGGGGAAGTTTCATAAAAAAAATAACGGAAAAAATATATTTGGATGATAGAGAGAAAAGAGCAAAAGCCAAGCAGAAAAGGAAAGAATATATGAGAAATACATGTGTATAGCAATGGGAATTTTCATGAGCGTTAGTGTGCCTGCCACAAGATAGCTGCTCCTGTATGATAAACAATGGTGCTAGGAGAGATTAGAACAGCAAGAGGTTTAAATCCAGTCCTGTTATTATGTTAACCATCACCAAACTAAAAAAATTAAAAAAATTTGAAGCTGCATGCGCCTCACTCGTGCCAAGTATCAGTGGTCTGCCGGTTGAGTTGTGCTAGAAAACGCTCTAAAAGAACCCATGTTCGGAGGAGTGGGAGGGGGTAAGGGTGGCTTTCGAAATCAAATTCAAGCGGTCTTCCACAATAAAAGTACAGGCTTTATGTGCCATATTACATGTACATACTGACACAATTTGCAAGCGCACGCACACGTAGGTGTGGGACCCAGCACCCACACACACCCCCAGGAGGCAAGTAAGGTTTTTTCCCCTTAGCATAAAATTTTGGCTAATAGCAATTTAAATACATCAATATAGCCACACAAACAGTCTATCAGGCAAAGCCAACAAAATCATTGAAACATTGCCATTGGGGCACTGCTACCTCAACAGTCATAATTTCGGTGTTATTGAAAATGTTCAAATATTTAAAGAGCATAATAATATTAATACCAGTACGACATCATTTCTACTGTTTGTCCTTAATTAAGGTAGCGCATGTGGGTTGAATAGTAGGACATATTCTTCATATGAAGTTCTTTATATTAACGAATTGACAAAAGCTTCCGGGTATTGCCTTGGAAACCGCCATTAATAATTGCATACAATGTTCAGAGATAAATATTTCAACCCCGGCAGATCAAAATGGAAAATCAAGGCACATCACTTCGCTACTCTGTCACAAAGAACCGCAGGTGGAGTTAGGTAATGGATGATTACCTATTATCATTCAATAAGGGGTCTTACCCACCTGCCCCAGGGTGGGGGGGGGGAAGGAGAGGGAGCAAGGGAATCTCCCCATCCCCATCTCCACGTAACTAGTTTTTACTGAATGGTTAACCCCACACTTAAAATTCTCATCCTCTGCGCCTAACCCCAGGCAAACAAGCCATGGGTAATTATGTAGACACAGAAAGGTGATTTATACAATTTAAAAACATTACATTATAATACCGGTACGTGCTGGTTATAGACGCTGTTCCACATTGCAGTCACGGTTATCATTCCTCGTTGTGAAGCATGTGGAAATACATTTGAATATACTTAATGGAATTCCGGCTATAAATAGGCGGGCAGTGATTAATTTAAAAAGCATGCATATTTATCAAAACAAACGCTTGCTGCTTGCTTGACCCTGTCAGTCGTCCTGTTATTATCAAGTCAGATAAAAATAAATTGCAAAAAATTGGGCCCTTTTTACATGTAGCTGTACAGTATATGCTCTATGGTAACAATTAAAAAATGGGTTCTTCTATTTTATATGTTTGTGGTCCCACCCCCTTTCCACAGTCTTTACCTCAAGATGTACAAGGTATTATGAAGTTGTTATATTTAAAGTCTTCTACACGGATACTAGAAGATATATTACCAGGTTGTTACATGTATAGTCTACTACACGTGGAGACTGAAAGCAGAGGCACGGCTGGCCCGGGTGTACAGGTACATATACTGTTACAATACTTCATGAAATAACAACCCATAGATTTAATTTTAACATATGTTTGTAATCAAAGGATGATTGATCAAAAGCTAAGAACATTAAATAAAGCTAAGAGGGCACTGCTGCTTGAAAGTGGTGGATTCAGCACGACCCCCTTCTTAGTTTGTGGATAGAATGGAGTCGGCAGGAACTGTCTTGCAAACAAGCAGAAGTTCACATAACACATCGTGTGTAGCGTTAGCTGTCTATATTAATTACCATGGCATGTGACCGTGGTGATTGATATATGCTGTATTTGGGTTAAGGTGTGTTTTTCGGTGAAACGCAAGTATTTTCCCTTAATTGGCATTCATGTCTAATAATGCGCTGCCGCCCTATCGTGACATGAACCTTGAAAAACATTATCCGGTGCCCTACATTCTGCTGGGATTACTATTTTGTATCCTGTATTTTGGTAAGGACATGGTGTTCTGTAGTTCACCGCAATACCATGTGCAAAAGAAGAAATAAGATATGAACTAACGTGACATATAAACTTAGTTATGAATAAGGGTTTGTCCAACAGATGTGTGCACCGATTACTCTAAAGCTAAGCATTTTCATATTATGCGTATTTATCCCATAACATGGTGATGTTCAGAAGAGAGATCCCTCCTCCTTCCAGGCTGTGAGGTAGGTAAAGGTACCCTCTGCCACATTGGGGTAAATGTACCTTCTGTCACATTGGAGTAAAGTACCCTCTGCCACATTGGGGTAAATGTGCCCTCTGCCACATTGGAGTAAAGTACCCTCTGCCACATTGGAGTAAAGTACCCTCTGCCACAATGGGGTAAAGGTACCCTCTGCCACATTGGGGTAAAGGTACCCTCTGCCACATTGGGGTAAATGTGCCCTCTGCCACATTGGAGTAAAGTACCCTCTGCCACATTGGGGTAAATGTGCCCTCTGTCACATTAGAGTAAGGGTACCCTCTGCCACATTTGGGGTAAAGGTACCCTCTGCCACATTGGGATAAAGGTACCCTCTACCAGGGTCAAAGGTTGATTTTTCACGAGATGTTCTCAGATATTTCTCTTATTCATGACACAAACCTCAGCTGTAAATAAAGTGCAGAAAATTAATCGGCAGTCCTGGTAGAGGGCAGGAATAGGTGCACTAGACTTATCCAAATTCATCTTGAAATTTGAACAAAAAATATAGCATTTGTGTGTTGCATTTTCTCTTTAAAGGATTGGTTAATACAATCCAGCATCCAAATGAATTTTTGATGATATAGAGACAACGCTCAACTGTCTCAGATTAAAGCTCTTTGCTAGACCACACACTACAAGACACTTGTGTGCGTAGATTTAAGACATTATTCCTGATGGCAGGACACACGGGGACATTAATGGAAGAAGAGACAACGGGCAATGGCGAAAGCGGGTATAAGAAGAAATTATACTCCGGAGAAGACTACGGTGGTCTGTTCCAGCCTAAGGCATACCTGAATACCCTTTATAGCGACTTTGTGACAGGTGGACCCACAGCCTCAGAGATAACCGGAGCCTTGGACTACTACCACGACCTCTATAGTGCAGGGAAGATCAAAGGTCAGAGACTTCTTGACGTGGGCACTGGACCTTCGATTTTCAACCTGATCAGTATCTCGAAATACTTTGAGGAAATATACCTGTCTGATTTCTCCGCACACAACCGCGAGGTTCTTGAAAAATGGTGGAAGAAGGAAAAAATCGGCGACTGGAGTTGGAAGCCATTCTTTCGGTACGTGGCACAGTTAGGAGGGAAAGGCGCCCACTGGGAGGTGCTGCAAGATGAACTGCGAGGCAAAGTAAAAGCTATATACCACTGTGACGTTCGAAATAATCACCCCCTTAACTACGTCACCACGGCCCCTTTCGATGCCATAACCAGCAGCTTTTGCTTGGAAGTTGCGTGCACGAATGAAAAAGACTATCTACAAGCTCTGAAAAACGTGTTATCGATGCTGAAAGAGGGAGGGCACTTCATTCAGGTTGCCAGTGTAGAGGAATCGTTTTACCGGGTCGGAGATGTGAACTGGTCTGTGCTGGCGCTGCAAGAGACCAGATTCAGAGAAGCGCTGACGGAGGCCGGACTGGAGTTGGAGTCGTGGCACAGGATCAGGCGCCCAGACAATGTGCTGGAGCGCGAGTCCGACTACAGCGGCTGCATCATTGCCGTGGCGACGAAGAAGACCGGGTTATGATGGCGGTGCAATTAGATGTCATTCATTTCTCCCCATGGGCTGCGTGGACAATTTTCGGCAAAATTCTTATGTATTTTGTTTTTTTTTTACTGCTACCTGTCATCACCACTGCCAGTTGAAGGGTATTCAAAGCAACGCTGAGCACAACTTTATGTTTAGACCGGGGCACTTAAATATATTGGGAGTTGAGCTAGAGAGCACCTGTAATGGGACACTTAAATATAGTTGGAGTTGGGCAAGAGAGCACCTGTCAAGGGGCACTTAAATATAGTGGGTGTTGAGCAAAAGAGCAACTGTAATGGGACAATTAAATGTAGTGGGAGTTGAGCAAGAGAGCACCTGTTAAGGGGCACTTAAATATAGTGGGAGATGAGCAAAAGAGCTCCTGTAATGGGGATCATATTCAGCTGCTGTTGGAAATAAATGTGTTTTGTATAAAAATGGTACACAAAACCCCACGATCAACTATTTAATGTTAATTACGAACAATGCATAAGTATGAAGTGTCACAATTACCCGTATCACACCACAAGGAATCACTGCGAAATTCAGTGTAGCCGTTAAATAAGTGCTAATCATTTCTTCGTGCAAGACAAGTTGTTAAACATTCGTTTTCTTATACCCCACAATACTTTTTATATACTAACTAAGGCATTTCAAAATCTTATGTGCGTAGATTTAAGACATCAGTCCTGATGGCAGGACACAAGGGACATCATTTGAAGAAGAGACAACAGACAATGGCAAAAGCGGGTCTAAGAAGAAAGTATACTCCGGAGAGGACTACGGTGGCCTGTTCCAGCCTAAGGCATACCTGAATACCCTTTATAGCGACTTTGTGACAGGTGGACCCGCAGCCTCAGAGATAACCGGAGCCTTGGACTACTACCACGACCTCTATAGTGCGGAGAAGATCAAAGGACGGAGACTTCTTGACGTGGGCACTGGACCTTCGATTTTCAACCTTATAAGTATCTCGAAATACTTTGAGGAGATATACCTGTCTGATTTCTCCGCACACAACCGCGAGGTTCTTGAAAAATGGTGGAAGAAGGAAAAAATCAGCGACTGGAGTTGGGAGTGGAGGGAAAGGCGCCCACTGGGAGGTGCTGCAAGATGAACTGCGAGGCAAAGTAAAAGCTATTTACCACTGTGACGTTCGAAACAATCACCCCCTTAACTACGTCACCACGGCCCCTTTCGGTGCCATAACCAGCAGCTTCTGCTTGGAAGTTGCGTGCACGAATGAAAAAGACTATCTACAAGCTCTGAAAAACGTGGTATCGATGCTGAAAGAGGGAGGGCATTTCATTCAGGTTGCCAGTGTGGAGGAATCGTTTTACCGGGTCGGAGATGTGAACTGGGCTGTGCTGTCGCTGCAAGAGACCAGATTCAGAGAAGCGCTGACGGAGGCTGGACTGGAGGTGGAGTCGTGGCACAGGATCAGGCGCCCAGACAATGTGCTGGAGCGCGAGTCCGACTACAGCGGCTGCATCATTGCCGTGGCGACGAAGAAGACCGGGTTATGATGGCGGTGCACCTAGAAATCATTCATTTCTCCCCATGGGCTGCGTGGACAATTTTCGGCAAAATTATTATGTTTATTTTACTGCTGCCTGTCATCACCACTGCAAATTGAAGCGTATTCAAAGCAACGCTGAGCACAACTTATGTTTGGACCGGGACACTTATAGATAGTGGGAGCTGAGCAAGAGAGCACCTGTAATGGGGCACCTAAATATATTGGGAGTTGNAGCATATCATGGACGTAATTCGTTTTTGCTTTTGCTGTGATCGAACTTAGATTATCAAAAACAAATATGTATACAACACAGATTGAAAAGTTAAGTATAGGGTCTACTTGCCAGCCAGTAAGATCAGGTAATTGAGGTCGCATATTATATAATGATTATAATAATAATAATTTATTAGATAAAGTTGCAACCCTAAGTTTGAAGTTGTACAAAGAATGTTTAAAAGAAATTGACAATAAACTTTAAATTATAAAACAATAAATTATTCTTAAAACACTACAAATTAAAAAGGCATCCATAAATTACTACAAGTTAAAAAGGCAATAATTAATAAAGGAATTTTTAAAACGTTCCGTCTTCACTTTTGGTTGTAAGAATTTGGTGTTGTTTCGTAAAGGGCGGGTGTTTCTTTCAGGCAATAAATGTCCTAACTTTTCACAATTTTTAAATTTTGTATAAAGCCTCTGATACAGCAAATGTCTACGTTTGTCTAGGGTGTCAATGTTACAAACTTTTAAGGCATCATCATAACTGAGACCAGGGCAAATAATCCTTAAGGTTCTCTTTTGAACTGACTCTAGACATTCAGATTGCTCAGCAGTCAGAAATGGTCCCCATACTGGACAGGCATATTCTAAAACTGATCTTATTACAGACTGGTAAATAGTTAATAAATCTTGTATGTCCTGTTTTGCCCTCTTTAGCTGTCTGAGATACAAGAGCTTTAAACATGCCTTAGCATACATGATTTGGATGTGTTCAGCCCACTTGAGGACTGGGGTTAAAATAACACCAAGTATCTTAAACTTTTTGACCTTTTCTACACGTTCACCATCTATTTCCAATGTTGGTATTGTAAGATTACAGTTCTTGGTAAAATTTATGTCCATCGATTTAGTCTTCTTTACATTAAGTTTCATCTTGTTTTGCTTGACCCAGTCAGCCAATTGGTCTATTGCTTGTGGTAGATGCGGTGTTTTGCCAAATTTGCAAATTTCGTAAATGGAGGTATCATCGACAAACTTAATGTCTGAACAACAAGTTTTCAGGTCATTTATCATTGCAAGGAAAAGAATGGGACCTAATTTAGTGCCCTGAGGCACTCCCCCCACTAGCTGAACCCAATCAGATTTAAAGCTACTGCATTTTACTCGTTGCAACCGTTCGCAAAGGAAGGAATAAATCCAAAGTCTTACGAAGTCTGGTGCCCCTTGAATTTCTAATTTTTTCATTAAGATATTGTGATCAATCATGTCGAAGGCTTTAGCAAAATCTAAAAATAACACCTGAGCATAAGACTTTGTTGTGGGGGATGGTTCAAGTCCTTCTAGTAATTTATGAGTCACTTCAACTAAGGCGTGAGTAGTTGAACTATTCTGAATGCCACCAAACTGTGCTCTATCAATTTGCAGACCATCTGTAACCCACTTTGTAACAAAAGACTCCAAAATTTTACTTAGAACTGGTGTTAGTGATATAGGTCTAAGATCTGACTCTATTACCTTTGGCTGATTCACTTTTGGAATGGGTATTATCTCTGCAAATTTCCAAATTTTTGGTATGCAACCATCCCTTACTGAGCTATTGAAAATTGCACAAAGTGGTTTTGACAAGTAGTCTGCAAAGTCTCTGAGAATCCAATTTGGAATTTGGTCTGGGCCTATAGCTTTAGACAGCTTTACTTTGGATAG